TCGAGAGGGCGGCATCCGAATTGTGAGAGAGCGGGTCTCATCAGACCGTCTAAAGTGCGGCTATGAGGGGTTCAGCCACAGCGAGGTGATTTGCCAAACTGGATTGGGAACGGCAGACCTTTGTGTATGCGCAAGTGCTAGCAGCCGTAAGGGGCGAGAGGTTGAGCGTTGCACACTAAGTTCGGCCACTACAAGTGCTCTCTTCCCAAACTGGAGTTCGGATGATGTAAGTATCCGAACGGAGGAAGACTAGTCAAATTGAGTGAATGAGGTACGTACCAACAGTGGTGTTGTGAATAGCGTGGTGGCATGTGTGAGCCAGGTTGAAGGAGTGGCTGGAAAAATTGGTGGTTGAGTGGTAGGTCAACGGCAAATGGTATGCCGTGTCGGTATTGGTTGAGTTAAGGGATACCGGTAACATTAGAAGAAAGAACAGATGTTGGGAAGGAGATCTGGATGCTGTTTCTCATGAAGGAACTGCTCTACTGGATTTGGAAGGAACCATGACCTGGACTACTTGGATTGAAAGTCGCGGTTATCAATATTGCGAGGGCTTAAGTTAAAAGGGAAGACTACTGCCGCTGCGATATTTAGGCCCGGTGCTGTATGGGAGTGGGAAGAAATGGCACGCAAGTCAGCTAGTGGCGAGTACGTTGGAGAAGGCGATAATCAGACGACCACATTTCCAGAAGGCGGCGTTCAAAGTGTGAGAGTGCGGGAGTCATCACAACGTCTACAGTGCGGTTATGTGTGAGTCAGCCACAGCAAGATGCTTGACTAGACCAGCTTGGGGCTGGCAGACCACGGCCTAATTTCAAGTCATCTCAGTCAGGGCACGATGCCGGCTTTTTAACTGACTACATTCTGACCATTTATAAAAATTATTTACTGTAAATAATTGTTACACATGTAGTATGAAGTTAACTCATTGATTTTCACTGTCCGTGTCACATAGTTCGCGTGCTTGACAGACTGTTTTGTTAGCTGACTGACTTAAACTGGACATTCTAATTTCTACCTTTTTTGACACTTCACTTGTAATTTTTTGGGCTACAACTTCATATACTGCATATTGATCGACAGAGCTGAAATTGCATGTGAGGGTCTCCCTTTTGAGTATTTCAGTATGAGCATACTTCTGGCGACAGGTGTTAAGGCTAAGAAGATTAAC